CCAAAAAAACTATTTATACAAGCAACACCAAAAATCAGCTCTATGATTGCCAAAGACAGGACATAAGAAAAGAGATTGAGTAGGAAGGTTTACAAAGCAATTTTTTTGGGGGGGATGATGGGAATATTCTCTATTTGAATATGGTGTGAGTATATGACAGTTCTGTCACACTCCGTGAATTGTATATCTAAAAAGGGTAAATCATTATATGTATATTTCTAAATAAACTTTATTTTTAAAGCTATAACTCAAAAACTGTAAAATAGACAAATAACTGTGAAGGAGATACATTTAAAATTAGCTAAACCTCTATTCTATACTCTTTCTTTGTTTTAGAATACTACCAGATAACTTTCTCTATTTCACAGAATTCAACATGCATTGATTATAACATTTATTCCGATTTCTGAGATGAAAGAAAAAGTGCCTTAAAATAGATGTTGTTGTGCACTGTTGAGTCTGTTCCTACTCACATCGATCCCGTATAGAGTTTCCGAGACAGGCTAGTGGATTTGAACTGCTGACTTTAAGATTACTTATGTAGTGTATTGGTTACGAATCGGAAGGTCAGCAGTTCGAAACTACCAGCTGCTCCGCGGGAGAAAGATGAGGCGATCTGCTCCCGTAAAGATTTAGAGCCTTGGAAACCCTATTCAGGGTCGCTATGGGTCAAAACTGACTCGACAGCACTTAACAACAACAACAACATCCAGTACTTATCCTACAGTGTCACACTGTATCTAAGATAAATTCTCCTTTTTTTTTCTGCACATACCATAGTATTTTCCCTTCTACTAAGCTGTAAAACCATCACAGTATAATTCCAGAACAGTTTCATCATCTTGAAAAGAAGCCCTCTATACCCATAAGCAGTTACTTTCCAGTCCTTCTTTCTCCTTGCCCCAGGAAACCACAAATATACTTCCTGTCTCTAAGTATTTGCCTAGTCTGGACATTTCATATATATTTGCATGTTGCGGTGTGTTGTTGACTCGGTTCTAAAGCATAGCAATCCTGTATAGAGTTCCCAAGAGAGGCTAGTGGGTTTGAACTGCTGGCCTTTGGTTAACAGTCCAGCAATTATCCCACAGTGACACACTAGGGCCCTTTCATATGTATGTTGTTATTGTTAGGTGCCATCGAGTCAGTACCAACTCATAGCGACCCTATGCACAACAGAACAAAACACTGCCCGGTATTGGGCCAACCTCACAATTGTTGCCACGCTTGAGCCCATTGATGCTGCCACTTGGCTAATCCATCTCACTGGGGGTCTTCCTCTTTTTCTCTGACCCTCCACCTTACCAAACATGATATCCTTCTCCAGCGACTGGTCTCTCCTGACATGTCCCAAGTATGAGAGACGAAGTTTGGCTATCTTGGCCTCCAAGGTGCACTCTGGCTGCACTTCTTCCAACACAGATTTGTTCTTTTGGCAGTCCATGGCGCTTTCAATATTCGTATGTATAGAATCATACTATCTAGCCTTTTGGGTTTGGCTTCTTTTACTTAGCATAATGCTTTTATCTATGTTAAGCATGAATCACTACTTTATTCCTTTTTATTGCATTGTGTGGATATACCACATTCTGATGGACAATAATTTCCACTTTTTGTCAATTTTAAATAATGTTGCTATGAACATTTACAAATTTCTGTGTAGACATGTATTTCTGTTCTCTTGCTTATATACCTAGAAATGGAATTGCTGGTCATATGGTAAGTCTAGATTTGATTTTTTGAAGCACCATCAAACTGGTTTCCAAAGTGGCTATACCATTTTATAATGCTACCAGCAATATCTTTTATGGTTTTGATTTACATTTCCCCAATGACTAATGATGCTGAGCTTCTTCTAACACTTACTGGTCCTTTATATACCTTCTTTAGAAAAATGTGTATTCACACATTCACACAAAAATCCTTGGTCCATTTAAAAGAAACTGGTTTGTCTTTTTAATGTTGAATCATAAAGTATTATTTATATATTCTGAATATTAGATTTTTATCATATATATTATTTGGAAATATTTTGTCTCATTCTCTGGGTTGTCTTTTAACTTTCTTGATAACTTACATTTCTAATTTTGATGATTTACTTCTAAGAGTTTTATAGTTTTGGCTTTTACAATTAGGTCTTTGATCCATTTTATATGGTGTGAGGTAGGCACCCAAAATTAATTTTTTTTAGAAGTTCTTACTGTGAATTGAGTGATAGTTTACATGGGAGAACATCGGTTTTACTCTCATTGTCTCATTTCAATGATTACAATACCCTCCGTGCGTGCATCATCATTCAACAGTATTTGCGTTTATTTCCTGTTTTATTTATTTATTTATTTTGGGGGGATGTATACAAAAACACTCAGGAATATATACTCATTTAAACAACCAAAGGGCACATTCTGAAACCCTGCTTCTTGGCCACAAGTACATGGCTTTGCTCTTTCCATAGTCCAGAGTCCTCCACTGCTCCCTCTCTCCATGTTCTCTTCTCTGTCTCCATCTCTAGTGTTGCTGCTTCTCTGGACAGGGCCCCGCATTCCACTCATGCTCTTCTCCCTTGATGGCCCTAGGGTCCTCTGTTCCTGGACTGTAGGATTAACTACTCCCCCTATTTTGTTACAAAATTTTTACCTTTACAGTTGTGACAGTTGCAATTAGTCACAATAATAATTACTATTGAATCATAAGGATCTTATCCCCATCTCCTTTCACCAGGCCAGTCTAGACAAGATAAGAACTATTCAGTGAGGATTCTACCTTTCCCTACACACTCTGAAACTAAACTCCCTCTTGAAACCTTGTAAGCTAGTCACTTTGTGTCTTTATAACCTCCCCCCACCTCAGTTTTAGGTAGCCAGTGTCTAAGTTGCCCATTCCTATATACAGAGGGGATAGGATTGATTCTTGATGTGAAGACTCCTTCCCTCTCAACTGGTATTTGGAACTACTATATCAATAAGTATAAGTCAAATTCATCAAATTGTAGCAATTTATACTTGTTTCCTTCAGTAATATAAATTTTTGTAATGTAATTAGAATAGTATTACATGTAATAAAAACTTATATTCTGATTTCACAAAATGTAAGACGAGACTTAATGAAATAATTTACCTGTCCACTTCTTATGATAGAGGGGGGAATTGAGAAGAAGTACCCAGCTCTGACTCCTTCCATGGCTACCGATGGCCGACCATCAAATGCATGCAGCAGCACCTTGTCAGCACCTCTCAAAAATTGAAGAAAACCAAAGAGTTCCATTTTATTTCTTTAACAGGAGGTTTTCTCATTAATTAAAGAGAACAGCAAAGATCAGAGATCTTAAGGAAATGTTGACTAATATGATATAAAAGGAAGGCGCTCTGGTAACATAGTGGTTACGAACTGAGCTGTGAGCCTCAAGGTCAGCAGCTCCAAGCTACCAGCTGTTCTGTGGGATAACAATGAGGCTTTCTGCTCCTGTACAGGGTCGCTGTGAGTGGGAACCTACACCATGGCATATAACCTCCACTACCACCACTGTGATATAAAGGGAGCTCTGGTAGTGTAGTGGTTATGACATGGGCTGCTAACCTCAAGGTCAGCAGTTCAAAACTACCAGCTGTTCCATGGGAGAAAGATGAGGCTTTCTGTTCCCCTAAATATTTACAGCCTTGGAAACCCTGTACAAAGTTGCTATGAGTCAGAACTGCCTCCATGGCACATAACCACCACCATTATGATATAAAGACGAGAGTCTAATGCTAAAAAAGCAGGAAAATGCAGAGTGTCCTAGCAGTAGAATAAAAATATAGCAAATTCTTAATCTCCAGAATATAATTATTAAAGAAAATTGAAATACAAATTTGAAAACAATACTTTAAACTTCCTGTATCATCGAATTATTTCTAGAATTTGTGAACTGTCAAATTATTACTCCTAAGAGGGGATTTTTAGGGAGTCAAATTGATTTTCCGAGTAGAAATGCTAGTGGGAGAAGAAATAGGAATGCTAAAAGACTCACAAACTCAATAGTGTTGGATTTACCAACCAGATGGTATTTACCAACCAGATGGTATTTACCAACCAAATGGTCTTTACCAACTAGATGGTATTTACCAACTAGATGGTATTTACCAATACCATCTCTCACCCTTTTTATGCTGTCCAGCCGCCATATAAATCATGCTTTTAGTGATTCTAGAGGAGTTCAGTTCTCGTTACTGAGAAGTACAATGCTCTCTAGTTATAGGCATTCCCAGTTACTTCAACATCAACACCATTTTTCAAATGATGATTAACGCTGATGACCACAAGCAAGTTAGGAAACCAATCTTTTGGTCCAACCACAACATGCTTGTGTGTGTACACATATGAGGGGGCCAGAAAATTCATGGACAAATGGAATGAAAAGAGACTAGAATTTATCCACAAACTTTTTAAAGTCCTCTCATACATATATATTAACATACTTTATATATATCAGAGTGTTTTTATGCATAAATACTCAGTGTCAAAACAAAGTCTATTTCTTACTATGGGTGGCACTTACAACAGTCTGAAAATAATGTTATGAGATATGTTTTTATTTTAGGAACAGTAAGATACTTTAGGAAAAGAAAAGTTTTACTTTAGGAAATAAATATGCATCTTATGTATGATGATCACATCTACATAATACTATTTTCTGAAGCAGCAGAAAATATGCAAAGTAGTGAGCCAATGATATTAACCCTTCTTTGCCCTGTATTTTCCTTTCCCTCATTAATCAGTGGGCTAAGCTGATTAAAGAAATTGGAACTGCTAAATTCTAAATTAAGGACTATAATTTATTTGGTCCAACTTTTCATTTGCTCTCTCTTAGCCTGGTCACTATCAGAATCATGCCAAAAACCTTGTAAACAATCATCTGACTTGCAAAGTCACCTTAGTTGATGCCCATGTCACCCTTGCCTTTATAAAATCAAATTAAACATGGCTTGTTCTATGAAAATATGGACTGGAATTGTCCATATGAACTGGAATTAAGGCCTATTCCTTTCAGGAACTCAAATACCTTGCTCATGTAAGAGGTTGATGGTGGGTCTTCCAGCTGAGCGTGAGTGAACATTTCTATTTGAAAACAAGAAAATTCCTTTAAGTTCTTAGGTCTAAAAATATTACAGTAACATTACAATGAACGCCATCCAGAAACTGTATAAGGTAAAAACCGCCAGAAAAGGAAAGCTCAAATGTGTTCTGCTTATAGTCATAGAAAAGTGGCAATAGTGCACTATCAAAGGCACTAACTTTAGAGACGCAGAACAACAAGGCAGCTCTCACAGGGTTCACTGTGTTTTCATTCTCTGAGAAAATTCAGAGAAGAAGAGATGCAAAGCTCCATTAGAGGAGGGACTCTTTAACCATTCTTTAATTTGTGCTATAAGTAGTAACATAGAAAGATGATTAACCTACAGAGGCAAATTTAGTCTTTTGGCTAATTGGATCTGTCTGATGAGGACTTGTCTTTGCTCTTCCTTCTGTTCATCAGTGTTGGCAACTCGGGGGGAGAAATCTAGCCCGACCTAGAACAGGTTAAAAAACAAACAAACAAGTAAAAACCTCAAAAGAGATGCTGGATCAGAGCTGACAATAACAATATGTGAGCCACATATGAGGGGCTCCAAAAAGTTTGTGGAAAAATTTCATTATCTTTTCATTCAATTTTCCACAAACATTTTGAAGTCTCTTCGCATGTAAATTGATATAAAAAATATTTTAAGTGGTGAAATTACCTTTAGTTACACATTTCATTTAACACTGTATATTCAAAATATTATTGCAACATTTAATCAATACAGACACTCATGAGTTGTAATACGTGTCTGTATATATATACATACATAAGGAGCTCTGGTAGCGTAGTAGTTACAAATCGGGCTGTGAACTGCAAAGTCAGCAGTTCGAAACTACCAGCTGTTCCATGGGAGAAAGGTGAGGCTTTCTGCTCCCATAAAGATTTACAGCCTCGGAAACCCTGTACAG